CGTGGTTTCGTTATTCACAAATGTACCTACTGACTTGGTTTTTGGAGGCATAGAGAGAAGATGACGTATCATTAAAAGAAAAACGAACATACTCAAAATGGAATTTTTTAAAGCGTTGGAATTAGTACTTAATTCCAATTTTCAACGACAAATTTTATAAACAGACTTTTGGTGTTCCGATGAGTTCATCATTATCACCCATTGTGTCGATATTGTGGATATTGTTATGTAAGATCTAGAAATGGAAACATTACAGAAACTTCCAATTTTACCGTCCTTTTATGTTGATAACATTGCATTAGCATATGATGCGTCACACATTGACACATTGGTGAATACCTTTAATTCATTCCATCCCAGATTAAAATTTACTGAAATAGATGGGGACAAATTAAATTTTCTTGAGCTTAATTAAAAAAAGAAATACTCTTATTCAGAATTGATACCACAAACCTACTTTTTCTGGTCGCTATCTAAATTATTTTTCTAGACATCCTTTATGTCAAAAAGTGGGAACAATAGTGGGTTTAATAGGGTGGGACAAAGAAAGAACTCTATCAATGATAGAGTTCTTTCTTTGTTCCACCCTATTTATTATCAAGAGAATTAAAAATTAAAATTAAAAAAAAAATTGATGTCTACTAAAACTTATATTCTCTGAAATCAAAAATAGGTTGTCAAAAAAATTTAAACAATAGAATGATCAAGATAACACACTTACGGATAAGACAATAGTCAATAATAAAGATAAAATTAATTACAAGTTCAAAATCAAAAGTTCAAAAAATTTTTTTAAAAAGTCTCCTTAATACACTTGGCATATAAAGGGATTAATAATCTTGGAGAGTTCATCAGGAGTCATAAAGACGTAGTAACAGAACACAAAATTAGTCATCAATATGATTTTGATTGGAAAAATGTCAAGATATTAGACGAGGAAACAGTTCTTAATTAAAGATTTCGGAAGCGATACATATAAAGCAACAGAAACAGAGTTTGAATTTACAGAATGATACGTATTCTTTAGACCCACTATACATGAATTTGTTTACGGAATTGTGACGTTGATTTTATCCTCCCTTTTTATTTTTATTTTCAATAACTTTATGATTTTCAATAACTTTATTATTTTGACTCTCATTGTATCTCTGATTGTCGACACTACAAGACCTTTACGTCGAGTCACGAGAAAACGCTTACACGTTGATATAATTAAAATTCAGGCAAATGATTTTTAAAAATTCTCTATTTTTTCTTTTCGTGTTTCTTTTGAATGACTACACAGCAAATCTGACAATCTGATGAGCGATGTGATTCTACTTAGTGACGCAATGTATATGACTTCTGAATGGATATGTGTTGTACTTTATGTAAGTTTTTATATTATGTTTGTATAAGTTAATATTTTGATCATCGTTGGGTTATTCATTACATAGTTAATTTGGCATTTGGATAAAGAAGAACGAACTAACTGTCGGGAATCAACCTGGAATTTGCATTACTTATGTAATTTCTGTTTATAGTGATAAGGACCCGAATTGAAGGGTCAAAACGTTTATTTTATTCGTATTGTTATATTCACACGAAAATAAAGACTGCATCTGAACAGCTGATGTAGACTCCGATGGCTTTTTTACATCTCATAAGAAAGAAATTGCATACAGCAATTAATAATCAGAACATTAAATTACTATATTTATTGGCCTGTATATTCCTATATAAATTGCGGAGCTATTCGAGCCTAGTTAGTTCGCTTACGCCAATTCTTATATTACAAACTTCTTTCATAAATATAATTTATTATATCAAATGTTTCAACCTTTAACGTAATAAGGTTCTCCTTAGTGAAATAATTTAAAATACAGTTACATACAATATGATAACTTATATTTTCATATTCGAAGTACAATATAATCGTTTTTCAATGTCCTCATAGCAATAGATACACTTGATAGGTCCTCTGAGGATGGAACGGGATGCGGGGGTACTAATAGGCGCGGCAAGGCCGCCGATTGCTGGTACTGCTGTTTATGTAAACAATGATAACCAGGATCCTACGTTTATGTAAACATAAGACTCCGATCGATGGATTACATAAACATGATATTTCTCTATGTGTTCCGTATTTTTTTTGTCACTCACCATCCGCCGCCGCCGCCCCGCCGCTATCGCCGCCCGCCGTTGCCCTACTACCTTGCCATCGCGGACCGCCGCCGTTGATCACCGCCATCACTGTTATCGCCCCACTATCGCGCCACCATGCGAGCTTACATATATTTACCATCTCTCTTCCTCTTATGTGTTGACATTTTTCCCGCCGCGTTGTCGCTTCTGTATCTTCTTCTCACGCAAAAATATTTTACCAAATTTTTATTTAATAATTTAAATTTAAATAGATCAAATGCTTAGTACGGAAAAAGCATATTTATTTAGTAAAGTATGTTAAGAAACAAAGTATACCATATTTATTTGAATCTATATTAAAAAAAAATTTAATTAAAAAAAAATATTTTAAATTAAATAAAAATATGTGTTCAAGCACTATCGTTTCTGTATAACAAAAAGCATTACATTAGCATGCAATATATATACAATATATATATATATAAGAGAAATTTACATATAATATAAATGTATGATACTTACAATTCCAATACTCAGGCTTCGAATCGGGCTTATATAGCCGGAGACCAAATAAGCTCCATCAAATTGAAATCAGATTCCTCCCACATCCACCCGTTCCTTTCTAAATTGCCATCTGGCACCACGAATTATTTAGTTATTATATTCATAAAACTTTTAATTTTTATGTTGTTACGATGTGTCTCCTGAAACATGGAATATAAAATAAATTAAAAAAAAATGTATTATAAAAAGTGAATTAGAAAAATAATCTATTTCTAATGAACTTACCGAGGAAATGATCTGCACCCCCAATTCATTCCGCAATTACATCCTGACAACTGGCTAATTAATAAATTATATTTGATGTAGATTTGAATTCAAATCAAAATGTAGATTTGCTAAGTATAAATGAGTTACATTTTTTTAAAATGATATATATTTGAGTTTTAAATAATGTGAATAGGTAGGATTTAATAGTAAATTTATTAAATTTAATAAGTTGAAAAATTATATGAAATTTGTACAAATTGCCCGTCATTTTCATAAAATAATAATTGGAAGAAGTCGTAACAAAGTAAGTGTATAGGAATGTGTACTTAGGTGTAAATAAAAAGATTTATTGAAAATTTAAAGTTTTTTAAGAAGGAGGAAAGGTTTAATAGATTTTATAAATAATATTATTAAAAGTGTGAGATTGAATAATGTAATGATAATTAACGATATATTAAAGGTATTTAGTTCCATTATTAAAATAAAATAATTAATATAAATTATATAGAAAGTAACGTGAGAATTTGGTTAAATGTAGAAAAGTAATTTTAGTTGAGTGTACCTTATGTATCAGAGTTTATTTCATTAATTATTGGATTTCTCGAATTTAAAAGAGCTAATAAATAATAGTATTATGTTAGTTAATATTAAATAATTATTAATAATAGTTTATTAGAGGAGATATTCTAGTCAATTTTAAAGATATCTAGTTTTTTAAATTTAAATTTAATTTATCGTTAAAAATTTAGTAGCATATTTATTTATTATAAAAATGTTATTATTTAGGGAGATAGATTGCGGGATAAACTGTTATTTAGATTAAAATATAATAAGATTTTAAGGGATTTAATAAAAATAATATTAATAATATTTTAGTTTTATAAGAAAAATTTAATAATTTAAATTATTAGAAAGTGGCCTAAAAAATTACAAAGGTTAATAAAGAGCATACAGCCACGGCTAAGGATGTAAATAAGTTATATTATATATTATTTAAAACAAATTCACAACAATAAATAGACGTTTTGGTCAAGATTTAACCATCTTCAATACAATAAAAATGAATACGTTAAACATTATAACTAAATACGCAAGTCAACCGATAAATGTGTGATAGCAAGTAAAAAATTATTTCATTACAATACAGTGGTAATCGCAACAGATTAAAGTAAATTAAAATAATAGTTAGTTGTTATTGAGCTATACGAATAAAAAGAAAAACAAAGGTTTTTTTCATGTCATAATACAATTAAAAAATCTTCATTAATTCACTCATTATTTAAATTTATCACAGTGTTCAGTTGTACCGATGAGTCTTCGCACCAAGATATGCGTAAGATTGTTCTGTTGTTTTTAAAAATTTTTTTTAAAAATTCTCTCGATTTAATCTGTGCAGGAGTATATTTCTTAATTTGATTGTTTTTACAGTAATACGATATATCTAATTTATTTGTAAAAAAATTTTTTTGTTTTACAATAGAACTGGGTATTTGCGTGTCTTTTCGTGTGGGGCTTGTCGTTTTTAATGAAGATTTTTTAATTGTATTATGACATGAAAAAAACTGTTTTTCTTTCTATTCGTATAGCGCTATAACAACTAACTGTTACTTTAATTTACTTTGATCTGTTGAGATTACTACTGTATTGTAATAAATAATTTTTTACTATAGTTACTTGCTATCACTACATTTATCGGTTGATTTGCGTATTTAGTTATAATGTTTAACGTATTCATTTTTGTTGTACTGAAGATGGTCAAATCTTGATCAAAACGTCTACTTATTGTTGTGAATTTGTTTTAAATAATATATAACTTATTTACATCCTTAGTCGTGGCTGTATGCTCTTTATTATTTAACCTTTGTAATTTTTGTGATTAATTAATATGTTGTAGAAGAAAATAGATTTTTGATTAATTTAATAGAGTATAAATTTAATTATTTAAGAAGAAATTATTTATAATTAATAAAAATAAATGATAATGATAAAATGAATTTATAAGAATTATAAGATTGTGGGATATTAATTTTAGGAATTCGGCAAATAGTTCAATTGTTTAATAAAAACATAGTTTTTTGATTATAATAAAAAATATTTACTGCTCAATGATTGAGAAATTAAATGGCTGCAGTATTTTGACTGTACAAAGGTAGCATAATAGATTGTTTTTTAATTGTAAACTGGAATGAATGTAAGCATGAAATTTAAGCTGTCTTAAGTTGAGGTATAAAATTTAGTAGCTAAATAAAAATTTTTAGATGATATTATGGGACGAGAAGACCCTATAGAATTTTATATATAGGCTTATATATAGAAAGTTATAATTGTTATTTGTATAGGGTTATATATTTAGTTGGGAGGATTATTAAATTTAATGAA